CAAATCTAAACCGATTCTCAAATTTGATGTTATTTCCGACATTTTTTGCTTTCATTCAAAAAAATTTAAAAAAAATGAAAAAATTATGGCGTTTTACTTTGTTGCAGTTTTTTCATCTCACCTTGTATATTAGGGTGGTTCAAAAATAAAATTTTTTTTTTCGAAACGCTATAGTGCGCAAAAGTTGCTTCTAGTATAGAGTAGAAAACTGTAAAAAAATAAAAATTATCAGTTGATATCTTCCGCTCGCGCATCGCCTCCAAAAGTTGTAAATGCTTTTTCTTTTGTTATAATTTTTGTTTTTCTTTTCTATTGTTGTTTTCTTGTTGTCATTATTATTATTATATTTATTGTTATGACTTTTCTTGTAATTTTCCGCTATAAAAATGAACATTGTACATTTGTTTAGTTTAGTTTCCCTGTAGATGACTGTTAAAGAGAGTCGAAATATTGGAACAATTATTTTTAATAAAATATGAACTATTTTTAAATACAAATAATAAATTATAGTGTTTTTATTTCTATTTAAATTAACCAATTACCCTGTTAATAAATTATTATATAATTTTTTGGTCACTTAAATCCTCTGCTTAACCCTCCCTGTGGGTGTCGACTGGTAATAGAGAGTTCTGATTACAGACTGTTCTAGCTAAGAATTGGAGTTTGCTCTGATTCATTGGCGTGAGGTCTCTGGGGACAACAGAGGTAATGATGCACTAAGCTATAACGACGGATTCTTCAGGTCCTCAAGGGCTTCCCTTGTCGGATTGGCTACTGCGGAGCAAAAATTCTGTCCAACGGCCTTTACGGCCAATATGGCTTCAACGGCAACAACCTTGGCTATACTGACACCGATTGTATGATTTTGAATTGTCTGAATTATAAATTGTCTGAACCCTGGGCTGACAGTCTCAGTACTCTGTTACCTCAGTATGTAGAGGTGAAACTCTGCAGAAATGGCTTTCAGGCTAATGCTGAGGCTGCCTCCGACCTGTTAAAATCGTGGCTGACCTCAGGAAGCGCTCAATACCCGTCGCCGTTTAGTTGGTGGTATAGGTGAGGTTGAGCGAAGTTCCCTCTTAATATCTGCCTGGCTCTGAATGTATGTGCTCATAAGGCTATACATCAACCTTCACATGGACCTCACTGATTCAAAGGGACCCATGGAGCTTTTTAAAAGATAACTACACGTCGGGTGGAAATAGCGGACCTGAGTTGGGACCCATCAGTATGGAAAATATGAATTTAAATAAAAACAAACAAAACTTTCTGCTACTGGAAGACCGGTAGCAACCCCAAGCAGGAGATTGCAAAACTCGAGTGGTACCTCCAACTCCAATTCCAAAGAGTTTAAAATCTCGTCGCAAATACCTTCTGGAAGCAGAAATACTGCATCTACCAGTCGGTATGTTGCCTCTTCTGTCACGGCCAAAAGCATTGACAAGTCAGAACCCAGATCCTCAAGGAGAATTCCACCTTCCAAAAATGCCCACAACGATCGCCGTATGGCTACAAGAATTCTGCAGCGCGTAGGTGAGATCCCGGCTGATAAAATCAGTTAACAACAGGCTTCATCCCTTGAATGGGCCAAAAGCATCTTGGCTAAATCTAGCAATAAAGAGGGCTCAAGTGTCTAAAAGACAAAGGTCTCAGGAAAAAGAACCCCCTCTTACGAAGAAACCAAGAGGTCACAATGTACTGGTACGACCATACAGTGGCGGACAGTCTCATTATAGGCGTCCTGGATAGGAGTGCCGAGAAGGGGAGAATCCCCAAGGACAAATGGAAATGGGTGTCGGCCGCGTTGGCAGACATTTTCCTCCAAGTTTTGGAAGAAAATCCAGGACCTGCTTCCTCCTGCGAAGACGCGGGCTAGCACCAAGAACAAGTGAAATTGGTCGCTTGCAAGGTTGCCTTGTGCAAGGCAGCCGTCTCTAAAGTAGGAGAGATCTGGCCTGGAGCCAGACTTGAATAGGTAGACAGGAAGGATATTCCATCTCGTCCTAGGGCCAGGGTTTGGATCCCAACCAAACAAACTGACCCAAAGCAAATTCTGAAAATCATCAGGATCTGCAACCCCAACCCTCCGACTGGAAATTGGAGAGTGGTTAAATTAGAGGAGCCTGTTGGACCGACCAGACAAGCTGTCCTTGTATTAAATGCGGAGTCATTGAAACCGCTCTCCGAAGTTAAATATGTAATCTCCTATGGCTTCGAGAAGCTAAATCTCAAGGTGTATCGTACCGATGCCACGGAAGAACCGGAGAAGATTACGTCTGATCAGCCCTTGCAGGAGGAACCAGCTAAAGGACCAATGTTAAGACAGCAGACTTGTGAGGAAACACAGAGTGAAGACCTGCCAGATCAAATGGACTCGCTCTCTCTGATGTCTGAAGACAAATCGGATGCGGGGTCATGGACCAGTCTAGGCAACCTATTCGATGAGAGTGGGCTCCTGGACTCGGATGACGAAGCCGACAAAACGGTGGTAGAGGTTCAAGTACCTGATGAAGGTGCTTCAAATTAATCTTCACCACTCTAAAGCTGCTTCAGCAAACCTTCTAATCCACCTTGCACAGGGTGGAGCCGATATTGTTCTGATTCAGAAACAATGGATACTGGAAAACCGGATCTGTGGAATTGGAACAAACGATTATAAACTTATCAGCAACTCAGACTCAGGTAGACCTAGATCATGTGTGTTAGTTAAAAAGTACATTAATTGTTTCCTTTTGAGTAATTTTAGTGATGACGACCAGACTGCAGTGAGTTTGGAAATCGACGGCAAAACCGTATGGGTGGTGTCATCACATATGGCCCACGACAATATAGGAAATCTACCACCGGAAATACTTAAGCAGCTCGTGATAACAGCAGCGGAAAGAATGACTGGTGTTGTGATTGGAGCCGATGCAAATGCTCATCACACAATCTGGGGAAGCTCGGACATAAATGAAAGAGGTGAGTTGTTATTTGATTTTATTCTAGATTATAATCTTTATATATATGCAATACAGGAGTAGAACCTACTTTAATTATTGCAGGCAGAAAAGAAGTTTTAGATATTACGTTAACTATTGAAAACACAGATCTTGAGATTAAGGATTGGAGAGTTCTTGATGAACACTCATTCTCTGACCATCGCTATATTCAATTCTATATAAATCTACAATGTCCAGTTGAGAAACCTTATCGGAATTACCGTAATACCAACTGGAGTAGATATCGAACCAATTTATTAAATCTACTTCCTCTATATCCTATTGAAGAAGTAGAGACTCCTCAATCGCTAGATAACGTTGTGGAAACCTTCACAAAAGCTTACAATATAGCCTTGGACCGTTCTTGCCCGCTGAAATCACAGAGGGGAAAGAAAAGCCATTGTAGTGGTCCGAGGAAACAAGAGATCTTAGGAAATCAAGCAGAAACTTGTTTAACAAGGCCAAGAGAAGTAATCTTAACACTGACTGGGACATCTACAAAGTCAGTCTTAAAATATATAAAAATGAAATAAAAAGAGCCAAAACACGCTCCTGGAAAGCCTTCTGTGAAAGCGTGGAGGGTTGTCAAAGAACAGCAAGGTTTAGGCGCATTCTCTCGAAGAAACCCTCTAATTTAGTCTACTTAAAAGACGAGGTCAATGGGTGGACACATAGCAGCGAAGAATCGGCGGCATTGTTACTGAATATAAATTTCCCAGATAGCGACATACCAAATAACCTTGGAATAAACCAGGGTTCTACATGTGACTCATCTGTGGTGAATAATATTGTCACCAGAAGGAAAATTAAATGGGCTATAGATAGCTTTCTACTATACAAATCACCAGGCCTGGATGGAATTATACCAGCCCAACTTCATGAAGCAAAGGACATCTCTTGCAACTGGCTCACACCAATTTTTAAAGGTTGTCTTTCCTTAGGGCACATACCAGAGAAATGGAAATTGACAAAGGTCGTTTTCATTCCTATAGCTGGCAAAAGCTCCCATATTACACCTAAAGATTTTAGACCGATTAGTCTATCCTCTTTTCTCTTAAAAACTTTAGAAAGGCTTTTGGAGCATTTTATTAGGAAAGAGATACCATATGAAAGGCTTTCAAAATCACAACATGTGTACTGTAAAGGAAGGTCTGTAGAAGCCGCATTATCATCTCTAACTGGGATGATTGAAAACTCAATACAGCATAAAGAATACGCTCTTTGCGCTTTTCTAGATGTGGAAGGGGCTTTCAACA